GGACCGGGACCGGCAACGGGATCGCAACCCTCGGTGTTGCGCCCGCACCTCGCTCAGTCAGTGAGCGGCCAGTCTGTATGCGGGATCCGAACCCTCGGCGGGAGCGCCCCCACGCTCCCAAGCAGTACACTGTAGCAGTGCGCCACCAGGCTGGCCCCTCACTGTAGTCTTAATTTACGTTTCTCAAATCTTTTTCATGTGTTTATATGCCATTTATAATTCTTTGGTGAAGAATGTTCAAATTTTTGCCCATTCATTAAACTGGATTTTGTTTTCTTACTACTGAGTTTTCAGATGTCTTTATAAATCCTGTAAAGAAGTCCTTTATTATATATTTGATTTACAAATATTTTCTCCTAATCCATTACCTGCCTTTTCATTTTCTTAACAGCGTATTTAAAATTTAATTTTGATAAAATTTAAGCTTTTTGTGCTTATTTCAAAATCTTTGCCTAATCCAAGGCCACTAACATTTTCTCCTATGTTTTCTTCTAGACGTTTTGTAGATTTAGCTCTCACGTTAAGGTCTATGATTCACTTTGAGTTAAATTTTGTATGTAATATGAAGTAAGGGTTGAAGCTCATTTATTTTTTTGTTTGTTTGGTTTTTGCATGTGGATGTTCAGTTGTTCCAGTGCCGTTTGTTGAAGAGACTGTATTTCCCCCATTCAGTTGCCTTGGCCCCTTGTAGAAAATCAGTTGACCATGCAAGTGTGGCTCTCTCTCTGGATCCTCTGACTGTTCCATTCATCTATATTTCTATTCTTATCCCAGCACCATATGTTGTGTTTACTATAGCTTTACAGTAAGTCTTAAAATCAGGTAGTATGAATCCTCCAAACTTATTTTTCCCCCAGAATTCTTTTACCTATTCTAGGTCCTCTGTATTTCCATACGAATTTCACAATTAGCTTATAGTTTTTTACTGAAAAAAAAGGAAGAAAAAAGAAAAAGTCTGCTGGGATTTTGATTGGCATTGTGTTGAATGTATAGGTCAATATGAGATGTAACATCTTAGCAATATCAAGTTGCCTGACCTGTGAACACAGTATATCTCTCCCTTTTCTTAGGTGTCTTTTTAAATTTCCTTCTGCAATGTTTTTTCAATTTCATGTTTAGCTTTAGCATGTATTTTATGAAACATATCCCTGAGTATTTCATATTTTTCATGCTATTGTAAATGACATTGTTTTTTGAGTTCCAGCTATTCATTGCTGGAATATAGAAATACAATTGATTTTTTNTTTTTTATCTTGTACCTTGTGACTTTGCTTAATTCACTTATTTTTGTAGTTTTATATATATTCCTTAGGATTTTCTACATAGACAATTAAGTCTTTTTGAATGAAGACAATTTTACTTATTTTTCTCTAATCTCTATCTTTTAATTCTTTCTTTCTTTCTTTTTTTTTTTTTTTTCTTGCCTTATGGCCCTGGCTAAAGCCTCCAGTACAGTGCTGAACAGAAGTAGTGATTAATGGACATCATCTTCTTGAACTTAGGGGGAGAGCATTCAGGCTTTTACTATTAAGTATGATATTAGTTGAGGTTTTTCTCTGTAAGAAGTATTTTTAAGCCTACATGAGGGTGCTTCAAAAAGTTCATGGACAAATAGAATTAAAAGATAATACTAACCTTTCCATGAACTTTTTCAAGTTCTCTCATATCTATTTGAGATTTTTTTAGAAAAGAAGAGGGATGAATGGGTATAGGTATCCACCATGGGCAAAGTGTTTCTTCATGTATTCAGCTCTGTGCTTTAACTATGAGATGATTTATTAGGAAATAAGCACATCTTTTCATTAAAGGCTTTAAGTGTGGGTTGTTATTTACATTAGATGTGACCATGTGTGAAAATACATCCCTTTGCCAGGGAACTAACTCATCCTCAGTCCATCAGGAGGCAGTGTAGCCTGTGGTTAGGCAGGTAGGCTCAGTCCTACTGGGTGCACAGTCTGAATCGAGCTCTGCAACCCCAGGCAAGTTACTAAACTTTTCTGTGTCACAGTTTTCCACCTGCAAAATGAAGATATCAATAAAACAAACCTCCAGGGCTTCTGAAGACTAAATAGCAAACACAGTCAAGTGCTAAAAACAGTGCCTGGTGTCTGGTGCATTTTAAGAAGACTTAGTTTGCATAAGGCTAATTTACACACAGGTTTTCAGCAGCAGTTTTACTGCCTAATGACCAACCGTATCATTTTAAAAATCCTTTCCCCTGAAACTCGTATTAAGGTTTTTTGAGGTGGTAGGGTTGATTTCTGTTGTTACACAATATTGTTTGTGCACTAAATACATTTTAAAATCTTGTGCATCACATAAGCAATTATAGGATTGTAATTGTGGGCAGCACACTCTGGAAGTTAACACCATCTCTACACTTGGAGGCCAAGCCAGAGTTTGACTTTCTGATCATTTCATCTTGACCACTTGATAGTAGGATGGAGTGTGGACCCCACCCTGCTTCTGGGTCAGCCCACCTGGGTGTGTGGACGACCATGCAGTGCCCAGTTGGTTTCAGCCTATTGTTTCCTACCAATAAACTCTAATTCAAGGGGACAGAGGCTTCTCAGCCAGCTGCTTTCCTGGGCATCTGCCCTAGTAAAGCTGCCTCTCTATCAACATGCTCCAAAACCTGAGTGCTCTCCTTCCTGCCTGGGGTGGGTTTGGAGGTGGAGGGGGGCCACTCACTGCAGGGATGAGGTTACACTGAGCCTGCTCCAGCAGTACCGTGATGTGAACATATAAGGAAAAGCACTTAGGAGCTGGCTGGTAGGCCTTCAAGGGGACTTTCCCTTAATTTGAACTTGCTTTTTCCTTTTCCCTCATACTTTTTGAGGGGTGTAGCCACAGCAGGCTTTGCAAAGGGTCCTCTGTAAAGTTTTCCCATCTGTGGTCCCTTCTTCAGGCAGGGTTCTACACTGTCTGGCCAATTATCTGTCCCTGGCTTTCTCTTAATCAGGCCAGTAAAAAACTTACTCTACACATTGAGATTTTAAAACATTAAGAAGTGCCTTTGATTCTATTTGGACACATCTGCACAGTGTTTTATTCTTCCTCTCTGCCTCCCATGCAATGGTGGGAGACAGTAGGTACATGCTTAGGATTTCCTGCCTTTATCCTCTACAGTCTGATGGGCAGCATTTCAGGTCCTCCTTCCAGAGCTCCTGGGAGTATTTGGCCAGTGCTTGTCCTCCCCTCTGCCGAGGATGTTCTGCATGCTGTTCCCAAAGAGTTGCATGCCTGTGCCTTGCCTTTTCAAGTTGTCATCGTGACACCAATGCAGAAAGGTGTTTATTCAGGGAGCGAGGAAGACACTACCCTCTCCCTCGACTATCATGAGAAGCCCTGGTTAGGTGTGGAACTCAGTGCACACATGACGTTGTCCTCTCCACTGTGCCCGTTGCCCCAGGCGATCATGCTAAATTATATATGGGTGGAAGCTTTCTGCAGCGCTGTTTTTCCACTGGAGCACAAAGCACTCTGTTACAGGAGGGATTTTACAGAAACTGCAGAGCTACAGGGAAGCAGGTTACTTTCCAAATGAGAGAGCTCATCACGGTGTGAATTTAAAATAAATGGGAAGCGGATACATGGAGTTCACCTTTCTATTTGAGTGTTATTTCCTTGAGCACACACACAAAAATTGCTAAAAGTTTAAATATCAAACCATTAGTTTTCTGAAACAAAGAAAGGCAAGAAGGAAAAGGCAGATGTGCCGAATTTAACTCCCTGGTCAGATAAGAATCTGCCTTTAGCCCACCTGAGTGACGGTGACAACGTGCTCTCTGAACTGGTGTCTTTCTCTTCTCTGTGTATTCTCTTCACTCTTATTGCACTCCAGTTAATTTCCTCACTTCTCTCCAAGCGAAAAATGAAACGCACGAACGAACGGAAAGACTCCCTCATTAGAGCGATGGAAAGACCATCTTCGACAAAGTAGACCCACATAGCTATTCGTCAGGTGAATGAACGACGTACTGTGGATCCAGTTTCTGTGTTAATTGCTCATATGTATCAAACACGGTGACGACCCCATGCTTTGGCGGTTCACGGAGGCCAACCTACGAAAGGCCTTGCACTATGCTCGTGCTTAATGTTGTATTGAAAATTTGGATTTTTGCTGTCTGTCTCACTACCAAGTTCAATTCTCTCAGAATCTCATCAGCAGTTATTTTTCTTTTGTCAATTTGACAGGTGATGGCCAAGAAGGAGGACTTTTTCAGTGCCTGGAACTCGTGTCTGCACCACGTTGCCTCCCTGTCTCTGGCCCACACTCACAGAGGTCAGTTGGCGCTTGCTGAATATTTGTGATTGAGTTGACTCAGGGGTCTGCAGGTCATCCAGGAACATGATGCCACAGAGAAAGGAGAGTTTTCATATCCATCTGAGCCCTCGTGGTGAATGCAGGGCCCCCAATAACTTACAGACTGAAAGCTTGTGGTAAATAAACTCCCAGCTTACTAGGAACACTGACCAAATGACACCCACAAAGCCCAGTGCCTAACCCATCATGACCAGCTCACTGGCCACCTGACAATTGCAAATGACACTAGATAGGAGCCAGTTGTTAAAATGCCGGCCCTCTGCCCAACAGTGACTGTCATTCCTAAATAGTCAAGTGGAAGGGTGTGTATGCAGATAAACTAAGGAGAATTTAATAGAGCCACTGTCTAAAGAATTTTAAGTACCAGAACTAACTACTTAAACCCAGTCCTTAAATTAGCAAGACATTGGTTCAGACTTTTAAAGCAGTGGTTCTCAACCAGAGGAGATTTTTGCCCTCTTGGGGATATTCGGCAATGTTTGGAGACATTTCTTGTTATCGCAATTGAGGGGGCAGTGCTACTGGTGGGTAGGGGGTGGAAGGCAGGGGTACTGCTAAATATCCCACAGTGCACAGGCCAATCCCCCACAACAAAGAATTATCCAGCCCAAAATGTCAGTAATGCTGATAGTGAGAAACCTGAATATTCATTTTGGCCTCAGAAGACCAAAATAACAAAGTAAAATGAAACACTGAAAACCAGGTAAGATCAATGGCCGATTATCAGTGAAATTATTGTTTAATGTCAAGAGTCATTGTTTTGTTCACCATCATGACTTTACTCCCTGGGGAAAAGTATTAAAAGAGGAAGGTCAGGCACTCGCAGAGCTTGTTTGCTGGCAGGGTTTTCCATCACACCAAGTCACTGCTGGCCCCAGGAGCTGGTCACCACTGCTGTGGGACCTGGTTCCTAGTGCATCTCGGGCACCATCTCATGAGCTGGAGGTGGGGGCCCTATGATGGGATCTGTTAAAAGTCAAGGCAGGTATTATGGCTAGAAACCCAGGATTGTCTACATCCAACCCAGCCCGCCAGCCTGCCCACCACCCTCCATCCCCAACCAGGCAGTTCCAAAAGAGCAAAGTGCCACATGATTCAGTGCCATGTGATTAAGAGCTGCAGGAATGCCCAGCATCCTCTCTAAGAGCTCTGCTGAGAGCTGGATTGGAATGAGTGGTTTGGGCTCAGACTGAGCCTGGCCTCTTCTCTAGTCCAGCTCTTGGGGACCTTGAGCCTGTGGGTGAGTCTCATGACACAGGGCTTGAGAGTGAGGGCTGGAACGAGCACGTGCTAAGAGCACAGGCTCCTCATGGGGATGGGAAGCAGGAGCTCCACAGGAGAATCACCTCCAGGGCTGGCCTTTTCCCACAGTGACCACACCCTGGAATGCCCACAACCATGGTACCCTCCCTGATTTTCACTGAGTTCTACCTTCTAATCCCTGGGGCGGTGAGGAGAGGAACCAGGAGGCTCAGGCACAGGGCGAAAGAAAGTTCCTTCCCCTATAGATCATTAAGGTACAGAATTGGGTTCCCTTGTTTGCAGATCCAGGAATTTTAATTTATTTTAACGCCCATAGTATATCAGACTCAGGGAAACTGACTCATCTTAATTGAACTCAGAAGTGACTGACATATCAGAATGCCAGTTTATTTATCACAAATCAAAATTTAACTGCCAAATCATCTGTACATGCCCTGTCTCTTCCATATAGAATTGCATTTTAACTAGGAGGTTGCAGCAGGTTGTACCATCTGGGCAGCTCATGCCCTCAGGCCTGGCTGGAAATCTGAGTGTCCACCGTGTCCTGGTGCTGAAGCCCACAGGGTGTCTACTTCCCTGCACTGTCTTGGTACGCTCAGCACCAACCTCCCTGCTTTAAGAAATTTATGTAAACCACCCCTCTTCTGTTGGTGGGTTATTTTTTTCAGACTTTTTGATCGGGCTGAGACTTATCTATGATAGGATACAGCAGTCAAGACACGTTTATTGAAGGCAAGTAATTCCCAGGCCTTCCTATCCACTGTGTGTGGACTTTTAGTGGCTTCACTCAAGGGGTGCTGTGGTCTGGGTGCCAGGACTCCTCCTTCTGGGCCCCTGTGTACTAACTGCAGATGTCGTCAGACTTTTTGATCGGGCTGAGACTTATCTATGATAGGATACAGCAGTCAAGACACTTTTATTGAAGGCAAGTAATTCCCAGGCCTTCCCATCCACTGTGTGTGGACTTTTAGTGGCTTCACTCAAGGGATGCTGTGGTCTGGGTGCCAGGACTCCTCCTTCTGGGCCCCTGTGTACTAACTGCAGATGTCGCCCATCCTGGGACATGAGGATGAAGCATATGGACTTCAGATGAAAAGCTAATTAATGTTCAGAGATGTGATTAAGAGAGAATGTGACTGAAAGGAGCCAGGAATTGCTGCTCAATTGCCTTTACCTTAGAAGGATGCCAGTTAAGCCTCCAGCTGGTCGGCCTGCTTGTGGAGAGCACAACTGAGCTGAGTATGAGGATTGAAAACGTGGGCTCCAGAGTCAGGCTGTCTGAGTTCAGATCCTGGCTTTATCTCTACCAGCTGTGTGACTGTGAGTGAGTTACTCAACCTCTCTGAGCCTCAGTTTCGTCCTCATTTACAAAATGTGGATACCGTGGTATTTACCTAATGGGGCTGTTGAAAAGATTAAATGAGATGATGTTCCAAAGCCCTTACCATAGCATCTGACCCATAGTGAGTGTTCGATAAAAAAAATTCATGACTGCTAATCGCTACTCCATGAAAACCTTAGTTCCCATAACCAAAGTAGAACGTTTAGACCCTTGTTCCTTAAGAGGGAGAAAAAGAAGGTTAAACAGGCTAAGTCTCAATGTGTGAGGTCGTATCAGGAGGAAATGGCAAGAATTGGATGCTGACCCAGCACAATAGAAATCCAGATCGATTCTGAACCTTTACAGTCAATAACCACAGTAGCAAAAGTGATTACTTGCAGGAAATTAGCCTCAGGTTCAATGTCAGATAAAGAGGATTTGGATGAATAATGTAACAGAAGAAAAATAATAAGAATTAGTTCAATGGCAGCATTTAGAAAGCCTGGGAATGTTTTGAAACAGAGAAATCCAGCTATAACGAGGAGGTCTGTACCAGTACAGAACAGGTCCTAGTGATGAGAGTGCTCCGAGCCTGCACTAGCCAGGACGGACTTAGTCAGGGCGTCACTCCGTTCAAACAGCACGCTACCCCTCTGCCAGAGGTCCCCAGGGGATGGGAGCAGAAGTAGAGGGAGCCCATCAGTCTTCGGTGACCGGGTCCTGATGTTGCCTTTGGAGACTTCTGAAGGAAGAGCACATGGGAAGAAAGAGGAGGATCGGTCTGTTAAAGCACAGACCTTAACGTCACCCCCGATGAAAATGAACTCAGAATCTAGCTGTTTTTATTAGGAACAAATGGAAAAAAGCCTTCTGGCATCAGTATCCGTTTGTCACCTGAAGACTAGGGAAAACCATGTTTGAAATAAAAATGTTAAGCAGTCTCTAGTGGTTTCTGTAGTAGGATGAAATCATGACAATGATAAATTGTTATTTTTCTGTGATACACATTTTTCTCTTGCCCTAGAAATAGCAGTTCTGAAGTTTGGTGCTGTCTGAACCCCCAAGGGTGTACCAATTCCTAAGCAAAAAAGGAGAAGCTAAGCACTTTTATTAAATAAATTACATCCCCCATTTTCCAGCTCTGTGCAGAATTGTCTCTTGCTTTTCTCCTTCTCAAAGCCTGTGAGTGGTTCTCATTATGCAGCAAGAAGCCCCTTTTTGGTTCTTAATAAAGTGACTAATAATTTAGAATGTTCACATTAAGAGCAGGTTGTAATTGTAATTAGAATATATAATAGCGTGGATTTCTGCCTATTGAGAATTAATTTCAGACTCTTCTCAAGGATGTTTTGTTTTGAAACAAGACTTTCTTTGTTAATAAAAACATGATCACATGCATTATTAAAGTATTATTCTTGTGTTTCATCCATTAGTGTTTGTTCCAATATTCTTCACGGGATCAGCAGTTTCCTCCCATGGTTAATGGAGCTATTCTTTATACAAACTACATTCACCTTGATTTAGTTTTAGCTTTGGCATTCATCTTCTAGGAAATTATGGGAATATACTTACCACCTCCTTGAATGTGTGCTGCATTACACAAGCTCAGAAAAATTAAATGCCTCAACTTCAACCAGGAGTCCTGTGTGAACCTGGGTACGTGTCGTCCCCTTACATTCAACTGCAGAAGTCACCCAAGACCCTGCGTCTTCTCGGCTCAAGGGCAAACCTGACCTGGGGTGGAACCAGCAGTCTCAAGTCAACACAGCTTATTCTTTGAATAATGGGTTTCTGCAATAGTTTGCTGGTACTGCTGGAGGAGGATGTCTGGTGGAGTGGGGAAGGAAGGGGAGAACCAGAGGTACCATGTCGTCCGTGACATCCCATGCACCTACTTTTCCCATTGGCACCCATCTGCAGGTGGGACAAGCTTTAGAGCAGTCTCTGTGTGGCCCCACACAGGTGGTGGGAGGGAAGGAGGGAGCCCTGGGTACTGCAGACCATGAGCCACTCTCTCTCTCTTTGTCTAGCACCAGTGAAATATATGGGCAGTGGAAACTGGTGAGGGGGTTTAGTGAGCCAGGAATGGGCAAATGCAGTTCACTGCCAGATCCCAGTAGAATCGTGAGGCCCCCATATTGGGGAATAGGAGGAATGTCGCAGTCACGCAGCTGAATCCCAGACCTATGAGCAGTTCCCATGAGCAAAAGATGCATCTGGGAGCAGGAGATCACCATTTCAGAGAGTGCACAATGGCCAGGAGCGGTCCTGGTGAATGTCTGCATGCTCTGCAGGAGTCGAGGGAGGCCAGAGACACAGGCACTGTAACGCCTGAAATCTGGGAAACGCAGGGGATGGCAAGATTTGGGGGGAA